CAATTTAAAAGACAAATCGCTAAATTTGCGTCTCGCTAAAATTTCAACATATACGGTATTTAATTTGTAGTTAAGAAAAAGTTTAATCTTCGTTATGTTGCCACATGGGGTCATCAGTGTTTAATTCACAAACACATCTTGTTCCTTATATTGAGAAGACATAGGACTTTGTGCATTACCTGTGACAAGATAACTCCGAGCATGCTATGATTTCTTACCCATTGACCTTGACCTTCACAATTGACCTTATTTTAAAAAAAATCAACTTCAGTGATAATTTCTAAATAAATGACATATGATAGGGTGTTCATATTAGACACAATATGTCATAAAAAATAACATCTCTCCCACAAAGACACCGAAAGCGGGGGACCGCAATTCTTTGAATTTACTTGTCAGAGAACTATCCTTTTCTTATCCGCACTCCTCCTTTACCACTGAATAAAATTTCACGATACTTTCACAGATTCTTTATCACATAATGCCGTTGTGCACCTTCTACGTTACCTTTTTATCTGACGCTTATCTCGGGTCTCTCAGAACAAAGCATGGACTTTGTCATTATAATCATATGGGAGGCGGGGGGAGGGGGTATGTTATTATTAATTGCTCACAATACCTCTAGTTCTCCTGATGGGCTCCAAATCGTGTTAATAAATCTTATCTTATCTATATCCTTTCACATTTCAAGCGGGAATATAATATATAATATAAAAAAGTCGGGATAGAAATTAAAACTAAGTGGGAGGAGCTTCTTTTAAAGGCAAGATAAACTTTTCTTTATACTTTTCTGGGTCATTTACAAAGGACAGGACAATCGCCATGCCTCTTGTTTATCCTGTGTCGATATCCACAACCGAAATGCACACTGGTGGAGAACCTTTAAGGATCATAGAAAAAGGATACCCAGAAATCAAAGGTCGAACACTTCTGGACAAAATTAACTATCTCAAAAGTGACTTGGACGAGTACCGGAAATTGTTAATGTGGGAACCGCGGGGACACTATGACATGTATGGAGCGCTGCTCGTGCCTTCGGATATAGAAACGTGTGATTTTGCTTCAATCTTTATTCATAACGAGGGATACTCCACAATGTGTGGGCATGCTGTGATTGCAATAGGACGTTATGCCATAGAAAAGGGGCTCGTAAAAAACGTCACTGTTCCAGAGACTCAGATAAATATTCAATGTCCTTGTGGGCCGGTGGCTGCTTACGTCACATATGATGGGCAGAACACCAGCGCCGTGAGGTTCCAAAGTGTGCCTTGCTTCGTCTTTAAACCAGGTAGACATACATAAAACTTTCAGCTTTTCCAGCACTAACTATGCAAACTTAGCTATAGAGGCTGAATTTTCCCCTTCTAATCTTGAACCTTTAACAGTTGTTTAAGCCGTTGGAAACAACACCGCATTACTTTTTGCCCCCCGCTTTCGTGGATTTAGTGGAGCTATGACTTTCACATGTGCATTCCTTGTGACAAGACCTGTCTTTGGGTACCACCAAATTTGACCTTTTGACCTTGACCTGGGAGTTTGGCCCACTTTTACACAAAAATGATTTTACTTTTATAACTTTTGAAAGGTAGATACTAGGGCTTTTTTTTATTTCACATATGTATTTTTTGTAGTAAGACCTTTCATGGGATATCAACAACTTTGACCTTTTGACCTTGGAGATTTTGTACTTATAAAAAAAACTTTAACCTTGGCCATAACTTTAAAATGGTAAAGGCTAGGGCTTTCATACTTCACATATGTAATCCTTGTGAGAAGAACTTTCATTGGATACAAAGAACTTTGACTTTCTGACCTTGGAGTTTGGCCCATTTTTTAAAAACTTTAACCTTGGCCATAACTTTTGAAGGGTTAGGGCTGGGGCTACTTCAAATATTAAATCCTCGTGACAAGTCCTTTCATTGGATATCTAGCACTTACACCCTTTGACCTGGAACTTGGAGTTTGACTTATTTTTTAAAAACATTAACTTTGGCCATAACTTTTGAATGGTAAGGGTAGGGCTTTCATACTTTACATAATTAATCCTTTTGAGAAGACCTTTCATTGGATACCAAGAACTTTGACCCTTTTACCTTGACATTGGAGTTTGACCTAATTTTTAAAATTTGGGTACAAATATATTCAATGTGCGTTTCATCGTCGGAAAAGGTAAGAGAAGCGAGACCGACCGTGGGTTTCCGACGATGTGTGCGTTTAAGGAAAGTTTAATTAAAGCTGACATGAATTCTTAAAAACGCAACATTTTCATCTATGTACGACTTGTTTCATACCAACTATAGCCGTATTCCGCCATATTTCTTTCAGATACATTGTCTCATTGTAACGATATATACCCCAATGCGGTCGTTACACTTGAATGATTTTTTGGCTTGGGTATCGACTTGTGCACATCTCCGATGGTAAAGCATATGAGAACACATGAGGTGATCAAGACATTTCAAAACCACAACAAGCAACATAATAATCATATTTCTGAATAATTATTGATTTGAATCAAAAGGAAAAAATGCAAGTTTGGAAGAGACATTTAGATGCATGAGTATGTATTTTACAGTGCGCATATTTATGCAGAATAAGCTTGAAATAAAAAGCAGTAAAATCTGCAAACACATTTTGAAATTATATCATTTGAATGGAACAAAACAACCTAGACGTCTTTGATTTGCAGGTCCTAAAGATGCAATTGATGCTTACGAGAAAACACCTCGAACGCTGTAAACGTACCCATACCTGGAAATAAGGTTCCTGCATCGGTTCGAAGATGTGCACAAGTCAAGTGATATACACCCTGAATCCCATTTATTGAAATATGCATCACAAAAAAGAAATAAACTCCATAAAAGCTCAATAGTAAACACACTACATTACTCCGTACAGACTAGCACGTCGATACACTTAGTCCGTGCTGATCACATTTTGATCAGGGAAAATATCACAAGTGGAAAGAGAAGTTATTTGGGATTTGCGCGGCTGAAAGGGGGGGTTAAAGTATTATAACTGCTGTTCATAAGCTATAATTGTGAATTGTCTATCTACATGTACTTTTAATATACATTCCATACAAAGTCATGTATATAGTCTGCAGTTGGTTTGCGTCGCAAAATTCTTTTGTCAATTATAACTGATTATTTTAGTACTAATCTCAAATCTAAACCAAATAATTTGAGGTACGGTAATTATTTACTTCAAATCTTAAAAGCAATTCACTACAAATTTTTATGTGTACATCTATACGTTCATTAACACACACACAAACACGGAGAAAGGCCATCCCCTGTTCAGATTGACATTTAGGCATTTGATTTTTTTTTAGGCGCGGGGGGGGGGGGGGCATGCAAAAATAATTGACATGATCGTTATTTAAATATTCTTGGAAGACAGGCATTTCTGCTGAATTCAATTTTGAGATTTTTTTAAAAATGTGTCACTTCGACCACAAAGTATGTGCATTTTGAGGAATGTAACTGTTTTATGTTGTTACAGAGAGTCTTTCGAGATTTCAGTATCCCTGCCTGATAGTCTAGCTATTTTTTTTTTGTATAAGAATAATTTCTTTAGGAGTATTTTAGAGATAATTTTAAGAGCTAGAGTAGGGATACTTGACACTGGTTGAATACGGATAATTTTTATTAACTCTTTTGTATATTGAACTCTCTCTTTCTCCCTCTCCCATCCGTAAGGGCAATAATAGGTATAAAATCCCACACACTTTATGCTGTACCATTTATTAAGCCTTAGATCTGATCAAGGATTTTTCTCAGACGGGATGTCGAAACTTCATAAATTGAATAATAATTTTAATTTGGACAAGAAATTAACCCAAACGCCCAAATTGAAAGAGAAACTAGAGGTATTGTGAGCAATGAGCTCACTAAAGGATACCCCGCCTCCCATGTGGTTATACATGTAATGGCAGTCCATATTTTGCTGTTGTCGCTAAACCCAAAATATGTGTCGAATCAAAAAGCAGGCACGTAGCATCGTATTTAAAAGTGGTGGCCAGTCAGAGATTTTTTTTTAATTACCTGAAAAAGTTGACAAGCAAAAAAAAAAAAAAAACAAAAAAAACAAAACCACGTGCACACCTTCAATTAACATTTCCTATAGTATAAGTTAGGTCGCGGAAAAAAAGTGGGCAGTCCCCCCCCCCCCCCCTCTGTTGCTTCACCCCTGAAAAGTTAAATAGGAGTTGCACAATAGTAATATGTAATAAACCTTAGATTCTGTGAAAGTTTCATTAAATTTCACTAAGTGGTACAAGATGATTTGCGGATAAGAGATTGGTACCCCAAAGCGTAAGAGACAGACGCACGGACAGACGGACGGACATAACGATTACTATATACCCTCCCACTTTTCAAGCGGGGGACATAATAAACGTGAAATATACATCACAGGAATGGGAACAACATTGGGTACTTTCTCAATTACCTTCTCAAACGTACGTGTCGAACCTGGACCTGGACAACAGACAAGAGAATTTTTAAAAAAGTTAATTGTAGGTAGAATGTGGAATTCTCATGGGGAGTTTGCTCTCTCTTCCTATATGCTTTTTCTAATAATTATTTATGTCTAGAAATTTAATTCACATTAAATTCTATTTTCATTATCATTGCACCACAGAATCAAACTCGTTTATTATACTCCTCGCAATAAGTTGCGTGAGGTATAATGTTTTTGACCCGTCAGTCAGTCTTTTTTTTCTTTTTTTGGTCAGCGCAACTTCTCATACACCTCTGCACAGAGTTTTGTCCAATTTTGCAGATATTTATAGGAGACAATCTGTGTGTAGATTTGCACATCACCAGAAAATTCTGAATTCTTTATTGTTTCGGGAATTTCCGCACTTTCACATTTAGATTTTGGCCATATCTTGAAAATAGAGATGAACAGTTTGTCAGCGCAATTCCTCATAAACCGCCACACACAATTTCGTCAAACTTTGCAGATACATGTATTTAGGACACAATGTGTATAGATGAGCATAATACATGAAAATTACGATTCCTTTATTTTTTTTCTGGGAATTTCAGCACTTTGACTTTTGGGGAAGCGTGGGGTATGTGAACTTGCTCACTTTTTTTCTTCCATTGTGCATAAAATTATAAATAACTTTGTATCAAATTATATTAGTTCTAATAAAGCCTATACATAGTATTTATTTGATAATAATTAATCTGTTTCAGACGTTTTTCTTAAATTACTTTTATGAGAGTATTAATATGCATGTTTTATTACCCCCCCCCCTCTCCTATCAACAAGGAAAATATCTTCAAAAGGTGAATGATTCGTAATAATACATGCTTTATTATAAATTTATTGAAGTTAAACCATGTAATCATAAATTTTATTTACTACATTTACAAACAAGAGTAATGTTTATTTTTGAAAAAAAAATTTCAACCCCACTGAGCTTTCAACCTTTGATATTTTCCCTGACCAAATAAAATGATCGGCATGGGCCACGTGTGTCCAAGCATCTTTTACTATTGAGTTAGCAATGGATTACATGACTTCTGAGATGCATTTTTCAATAAAAGTAAAATAGGATAATTCTTTCGACATGTGCACACCCCTGTAACGATAGCAGTATTCAGGTAAATGTTTTATCACTGCGTTTGACGCGTTTTCTCGACCTGCATGGATTTTTGCTATACATAAATGTATTCCATGTTAGTGTACTTTTTATATTGCAGCAAATGCATTCCAAAATAATTTAATTCTCGGTATAGCTCTATTTTTTGTTGAATTTTTACTTTTCAAACATGTATTGGTCAGTTTGTGGACTTCTAAAAACTATGCTATCGGAGATGTGTACATGTCGACAGCCAGACTAGAAAATCACTCAAGTGAAACAGTTCTACAGGGCTATATATAGCAGGTACAGGTGGCCAAAAATCTTCGCTTAAATATGGCGGAATCGAACAAATATGTCGGACGAGGGCGTTCAGGAGTGTAGTAAGTCGTACAAAGATGAAAACTGATGCCTTTTTAAGAGTTCATGTCAGCTTTAATCTTCGCTATGTTGCCATACGGGGTCATCAGTGTTTCACAAACGCATTTTGTTCCTTTTAACTTTTGATTGAGAAGAGATAGGGCTTTCATATGCCTTGGCCTTCACGATTGACCTTATATTTTTCATAAGAAAAATCAACTTTGGTGATAATTTCTAAATGACACATAATATGGCGTTCATATTTGTTCTCTACTATAATCTAGCATAAGAATCGATACGGTCTTTAATAAAGGATGATTCCACATGCTTTTTGGTGAAAATACATTAGGTCCTTCCTGTGGCTGTTTTAGACAAAGACCGAAAACTTCATTACTGAAAACAATCTCGGAATATAGATGATTAATTCTGAACAAATTGTCTGCATACCAAGGAAAGATATTCTCAAAATTATACTTTGATCTTAGTCTCCATTGCATTATGCCGTTGAAGAAGGAGAAAGGGCAAGTACGAAAAATAGCTATTAATGTATTTTTTAAAAACGGTTCTTCTTTTCCCCTGGCATTTGTAGTAGTTACCCCATATCATACTGTTGGTTATGTGTAGATACCCGATGGGCGTGGTCATAATGACACGAGGGAGCGTAGCTCCCGAGTTGTCATTATGACCACGCCCATCGGGTATCTACACATAATCAACAGTGTGATATGGGGTAAATGACTTGTACCATAGTTTTCAAAAATCATTCATATGTAAGTCATCTTAGGAATCGGTCGGACTGATTCGCGTGATTGAAACATTAAGTGTTTGGTTTCAAAGATGCATTTGGATTTTCTATGATTTTATGCTCCTTCGTGTCCTTCTGACCACGACCATCGAATATAGGGTAAGTGATTTGTATACAATACTTTTCAAATTTTGCCCTAAACTCGGCACTCAGGGTCATTGAGCAGTGAAGGATCTTCTTCCTGTCCAAACCTTCTGGGATTCAACTCCTTACTTCGTGACTCTAGGGCAGGCACTTTAACCACTGGGCTCCGCAAGCGACATAAAAATTTAACATATCTAGGCCCGTTTAAAAAGTTTGATTTATGTAATTGAAAAAATGACGAGTTAGGTTTCAGTGATATATGTTAATTTGATATGTTTTTTTCTGGTAAATTTCAATCGTCAAAATTACATACTAGCAATTTAAATCTATTATGAACTTGGTTTAACTTAAATTTTTGTAAACCTGATACAAACTTTGCCGTGCACAGTGGTACGTTGATTGAAATGTTTGTTAGGGGTTATGTATATTTCAATTTAATGAAAATTAGATCTTTGATCGGCTAGATCCGCAACCGAAAAGGTTATTTAAGTACAGTAGTGTACAGATGTTTTTATGTCAAGTATTTACCGCGTTTCCTTTGTTGGTTATCAAAACAACGATATAGGTATTGGAATCTACTAAGCTAACGTCACCCTGGTCATTACATTATCCCAAAAAATGTTTTAAAAATCAAGCGATTTCTGAAGGTTTTTTTTCTTCACTTTTAACTAAAGTTAAAGTATTAATGGCCGTTTTTAACTGTTATTTATTACAAAATGCTGTGGACAATTGGAAAATTTTTACTCCTTTTTACTACCCTTAATTTGGTATAAAACCACCAAGATAACAAGCCCGTATCATGCGTATGATTGTTTCATTTAAAAACCGTGCTTGATCGTTTTATAAATAGTTCTTTTGTCCCGACTCGATGGGCGGAGTTATAGAAAAGTGTGGGTTATGTACAGAAAACCCACACTTTTAACAAAAGAAATCACACCTAACTATGGTACAACTGCAAGATACCAGGGGTAATTTTTCTTAATTAATCCTGATGGGAAGAAAAATAATTTTCCAATTTCAAATGTTTAAGTGTTTGGATTTTTTAAAAACGTTTAGAAACTGGTTTAAAAATCAGAATGTTATTGAAATTTTGAATATGTTTCATACATTACAAAGATATACAAAGCAGATATTGAGGAACGGCTCAATGAGCAATTGCCGGCTTATGTGATCCTGTTCAAGACAGGATGTTAACCCCATAGTCGCCTGTTACGTGTAAAAATATAGTTCTTACTCTCAACCGCTTTTGAGATGACACAAACGCTAAATAAAGCAACAAAAATAAAACAAAGTTTTATCTAAATAAATTAACATATTTAGTACCTTTGAAAACTTCAGTCTTAAGTCAAAGAACATCATTGGTGTAAGGAGTTTTGATAATCAGTGTTACAAGTATCTTAGTTCTCTACACATACGAAGAAAAGCAGGAGAGGGAACCAGACTGGCCTGTTTGTTTATTTTCAGTTGCGGTACCAGATTAATTCTGATTCTGACAAAATCTGACCGTGGTATTAGGATAGAAACTCATATCATTTATATTGATAGATTTAAAATGATTTTTTCATCAGAATTTTAAATCCGATATTCTTTTTTTTATCTGTTAATACAATATAAGAGTATGATTCATGTAAGAAATTCATAATGATTCTACTCTGTAAATGAGCCCGGCTCTCTGTACTTCTGAGTACTTTGATAACTGATTCCACGATGCACTGTTGGAAGAAAGACGTATTATTTTCCAGATCTGAGCGTGGATGTTCCTGGCTTTGGTAAAATAACGGTGGACATTGTGTATGGAGGAGCTTTCTATGCCATTTTGTCAGCTGGACAATATGGTCTGGATGTCAGGAACTCACGAGTGTCCGAGCTGAGGGCAGCGGCTGGAGCCACGACAGGTAAGGGAGGGGGGGGGGGGTGTCGGACCTTTGAACAACGGAGTTCTGTAGTAGTAATGAGGGGAAACATTATTAAACCAAGGTATTGAGACTGAAAGGGTAAAACACAACTTGTGTCGTCATAGTGAAGTGAATACATTGTTGGTGGCTTTTTGTCCACTTATAATTAAGTCCCTCTGCGTGCTGCGTTTACTAAAAGGAGGGGGTGTCGAGGGAGGAGGTCCCTGGAATTTTCATGATTGTCACTAAATTAACATCGAATATTATTTTATTTATTGCCGACTTTTTCGTATTTATTTTTCTATTAAGTTTTTGTTGACATTGCTTTCTTTTCAAGACATTTTGAGAGGGCAGCTGTTGCTGGAGCACCCCGAGACTGAAGGCGTGTCTTTTCTATATGGTACGATTCTAACGGACGGAAACGATGACCATTCAGATGAAATTACAGACACTATGTGTGTGTTTGCTGAGAGAGAGGTTAGTATCGCGTTCTGTGGATTAGACACTAGTCACTATAAAATTTCATTTAGTTTACACCTTTCCTTGGCCCAAATAAATGTATTACATCCAGTTGATATCATAAGCGTGTAATTTAAAGAAGATAAATATTTAAACTGATGTATAAACGTTAGATGTATCACACAATCGACGTTGAAAACACTGCACCAGATCGGTTAATAAATCAAAGGGATGGAAAATCTCAGTAACAATTTTAAAGAGGGGAGATCATAGTAGTATAAGC